TACTTTTATTTTCAATCAGCAGAGGGTGTTTATATCTTCACAAGCTCAGCAAGGATGTGACATGTGGTTTCTGCCTCCCTGCCTACGACAGTCAGAGCGTGTGCAGAGAGGACAAAAGAAAACATCCTGCTACGAAGGAAACAAAAAAAAGTGAACTGTGAGGAGACTGACGACAGACAAACATGGCTGAACAACATCTGTGTGTGTCACTCTGTGGGATGACAGGAACTTCTCACCATGGGAACTGTATGAGGGGAACACAGGGTTCCTGCAAGACTCAGAGAGAGCTGAACACACACACACACACACACACACACACACACACACATAGCTCTGTTTGTATATAAATATGCCTCATATCCTCCATTCTGTGGTAGAAACATGCAAATCATCCACAATTATACTTGAGGGAGTATGGGAGCTTTTTCTGAGTCTGTACAGTTCCTTCATGTAGGCATTGACTGAAATCAACTGTGAAATGCTTTGTTTACCTTATAAATGTGTTGTAGTGAATTTGTTAGCAAACATTCCACATTCAGCAAACACAGAGCATTCATTTGGATTTGTGTTTGAGTCTAGCTGATAAATATTCAATAAAAAGTCAATTATTATTTTAGCTCTGGGTTGGTCTCCAATTCCTTATTCTGCCTGCTGTTGCTGGAAATGAGGATGATGAGAGCCGAGTCTGGGCCGGAAAACCAAAACAGTGTGCAGTGAGTAGGTTGAACAACTGTGTGGAAATGCAGAGTTAGTTGATTAGTTCATCAGTATGTCACTATGTGTGGCACCTTTCCGTTTCTGTGTTGTTAATATAAAAATATTAGTACAGCTTTACTGTGTGACTGACTAAAAGTAAAATAAAAAGCCTTTTATATCAATGCTGTGATTTTCTGAGGCAGCCTTTCCAGGGTCCAGATTATGTACAAGCTGGTAGTCATGTGGACAGTTTGTGGTGTTGTGGGTATTTCATGGCAACACGTTTCTTTGGTAAATGGTAAATGGACCTGTACCTGTATAGCGCCTTTCTAGTCTTCCGACCCCTCAAAGCGCTTTTACACTACGTGCCACATTCACCCTTTCACACACATTCACACAGCAATGGCAAAGCCCATCGAACAGAAACAAACTCATTTATTCACGTTCACACACCGATGACATCGGCAGCAATTTGGGGTTCAGTATCTTGCTCAAGGATACTTTGACAAGCAGCAGGGAGAAGCCGGGGATTGGACCAACAACCCGCTCTACCTTCTTAGCCACAGCCGCCCATTATGATTATACATATAATGAAAACATACTATGATAATATGAATATTATACTACATTCTTCCAATAGATCTTATTAAATGTTACTCACTGGACGTTCAATCAAATGATTATTAGATATGATGAATGTCTCAGTAAGTGATCTGTTGATTAATAACCTATAAACTGCCTCTAAGGATTGCCATTACAATGAGGTCATTATGCAAACGATACACACACTGCGTTTTATCTCTAACATTGCATATTTATTATGTGTTGGCTTGAATTCTTGTCAAAGGAAAAAAAACATTAGAAGGCAGCACAATGGAAATGAAGTGCTTAAATCAGTCTTTTACAGAGATTAGCCATACAGTGACCTGCTCATTAACATGTTTGCTCTCTGAAAATAGCTAAATCTGCATTAAGGAGAAGAAACACTAAGGAACTGTACATGAGTATGCAGACAGTGGCCTTTTGGGGATTAATGCAGAATTGTTGAATGCACTGCTCAGATGTCAGAAATGTTTTCCACTGAATGATATGTGAGCTTGCATCTCGTCTGTGAGCTTCCTCTTCTACATCTACATACTTCCTGCCATTGATGTGTGTCTCCAGCCTTGCTTTGACTCAGCGAGCATCATTTGACAGTGTTGCGTCAGCAGCCCTCTATCAGCTCAGTCTTTTACTATCTATTGGTTTTGAATCATTCTGCTGCTGCACCTCTGGCTACGTAAAACTCAATAAAGGCCTCTGGGCGGCTCAGCTCGGGGTTCTGAAGCTTTTGCAGCCAAGGTCCTCCACATCCCTCCAATGTGTGTCCAGCCTTGCAGCTGCTGTTCACCTCACTGAGAGTTGACTCACTACATCAATGCGGGAGAAAATCTCCAACTCAGAAACACAGTGTTGAATCGTCGCAACATATTTGCCGCAAAGTAAACACCTGTGCCTCACGGCAGTGAAGCTATTCATAGATTAAACACTCTGTATGTAAAAGGCAAGTCATGCATGGGCATTACTCATCACATTAAAGGAGCAGACTTTTTTAGATTTATACGTGAAGACTGCAGGTTCTAAGATGCCCTTAACTTACACATCCACTGACAAAAACCACATGAAGTTGGAAATCCAAGTTTATAGAAATGCATCCAGATCTGTGTATCATATCATATCATATCATATCATATCATATCATATCATATAAAAAATACAAATAAATTAATAAATAAAATCTGTCAAAGTTCCATGTCTGTAATCTTCTAGATACAGACACTATCTGCCCATATCCATATTCCAGTGATCTGTGCTTTATAAATCTTAAATTAACATAAAATGTACAGCACCTTAGCGATGCCTTAATGATTAGCAAATACTTTCTTTTGCTGGTGCTATGATGTTGCTCGACCTTTCAGTGAGGTGCTCTGAAATTTTAGGCTTTAATGTGACAGTCGCCATAGATTAACTTCTGCTGCAACTTCCCTGACACACATAGGTCTACACTTGCGCACATATTCAGTACCTGGAGTTCCACAACAGTTATGATGTTATTAGAGTTAAATACAAGTCAAAATAGGTCAGCTCTATGGATGGAAGGTTCACATGCCTGCCACGGACAGTGCTCGCACACACAAAGTTCACATTTCAGCTTCAGATTTTAAGGTCACAAACTCACGCTGCCAGTTACACACATCTCCACTAATGAATCAACAGCACTCAGTACCACAGACCTAATATTATATGAATAAACACTGCAGAGAGATAACTGTGAGATAACTTGTGCATCATCCTCCAGATGCATGCACTCCGGCTAACAGGAAGTGGAAGTAAGGTCAGAAGTTAAATGTGTGCTGCACCCATTGACCCAATCAGATCAACAGATCAACACAGCATGTGTTTTTACATCTAAAAAAAGATTGGTTTGTTTTATTCATGTATTTATTCATTTTTCAATTTATGAATTTGTTGGGGGTTCTGTGCTATGGCAATCCTAGGGGTTAGTCTTTGGACACTGTTTTTTCCTAAAATTATAGAAAATTCCCTAATTAAGCAATACAAAGTTGCACACATGCAGTAAAAGAAAAAATCATATGGAAAACATTTAATAATGTTAATAATAGTTTTCCTAATTTTCCAAAAATCCTGACAATTAAAAGATTTTTTATGTGATCTAAAGTTGCACTGTTACAGATACTAATAGTATGTCTGTACCAAATTTCAAGACTTTAGACCAATCAGAACAAATATTATGGTATTTTTCCTTATCGTACTAAATATAGTCTTCGGGCGCAAATTGGTTAACAGTGTTATGAGTCTGTGTTTAATTTGCGTACAGTATATCTGATGCACCAACCAGCACTTATTTTAGTGAGAACTCTTCTGAAAGGGTTAGTCTCTCATGTTTGAGAGAATACAGTTTATCTTTGTGGATCATATTGATCCCAAAATGACTGTCAACATATGACACACTTTATATTGTGTTTCTGTTTGTGTATATAACTAATTACTAATTGCTCACGTTACTTGTAATTAAGTCTTTTGTTGTTTTTGTTTCTTTTCAAGCCTATCATTTTACTTGAATTTAAGTATGTAAAACACTGTGTAATCTAATTTGCTTCTGTTAAAACCATAATTCCCAATTTGATTAACATCCAAAGCCTTCATCTTGATTTTTTGTAGCCAGTCGCCAGGAACACACAGAAGTGCTGTGAAGCACTGCCCCGAGGCCCCGCCCATGTTGACCAATTGGGCTGAAGAGACAGAGCCCACCGGGCCAATAAAATCCTTGACATAAAAATGCTGCAGCAGACACAAGTTTGAAGAGGTGACCACATTGACAAACTAATGCATTCATACACTTTCACACACGGATGCTCGGCATCGGGAGCAATTCGGGGTTCAGTATCTTGCTCAAGGATACTTCGACATGTGGCACAAGGAGCC